ATATATCTGTATATATATATTTTCATATATTGTCTTTCTTTTTGAAATTTATGCAACATTTGTTGTTTGAGGTTTCGCGTGCGCTCCAAGTCCTGAGAACTTGACGTGACTTGGACTTGATTTTGAGCTGTTTTGTTTATGTTTGGTGTTTGCTGAGTTGCCACTCATGACTACACTGCGCACACAGCACTTGCTGCCTATTTGCTTAGCACTCGACACATGACTCCTTCAGCTGACACGCCCCAGCCACCCCCCACACACACACAGTACTCCCACTACTTGAGAGTCGAATGCTGTGAATGCTCTCCACCGATTCCACCAGACCTCAGCGCCTCATGTATTTTTAAAACGATCATCAGACGAGCCTCATTATGAATGCCCCATATTGTATTTGCCGTTGTTGTTGTTGTTCGTTTTAGTTTTTCTTCTTTTTGCTCTTGCTTTTTTCCTCTTTTTCCACTTTTTTCCCGATGTGTTTTCCTATTTTTTCCCCAGTTACGTGCCCCGTTGCGCCACAGATTTGTGTGGCCCGCTTGGCAGCTGGGAGCAGCCAGCCCATGGCCCATTCCTTGGCTGCCAGTCGCCGTCAGCAGAAGAAACGCGCGCTCGAAAGAAAATCTATCTTGTTAGGGAAAAGTCTCTCGAAAAACGAAAAAGAAGGAAAATGAAAATGTCGGGCACGCAAATCGGGCGCGATGAGAGCGAAAGTTGATAACTAAAACGTAAAAAGCAAAAGTTTTTCCTTTTTTTTTTTTGCGGTCAAAAATTACGTGATATATATATAGATATAGAAACTGATATATGTATATGATATATGTATTTGTATATCAAAATTTGTGCAGCGCCGGACGCGTGTCAAACTTTAGCCGGGCTGTCGTGCGTCGCAGTCGCCACTGACGCTGACGCGGACGTCGCCGCTGACGTCGCAGCTGACGTTGACGCTGCTTGAAATGCCGGCTCGCCGTCGGTTGTGCTTGTGCTTGATCGGCCGATGGCGCCGTTTGGTTGAGTTTTTTAGTTTTAGTTCAGTTTCTGCCAGCGACGAGTGGCACAGAGAAATGCGAGAATAATCCCTACGACGACGACAACAGACGACAGAAAACGACAAGAAACGAGCAATTGAATAAGAGAAAACAAGAAACAACAAAAAACAAAAGCAATTTTCACACGAATAAGCAGCAATTTTTAGATTTAGCTGATTGAAGGCGGCAAACGCGGCGTATGCGTAATAAGCGCACACACTGCAACACACAGGCAGGCACAACAAATTAAACACACACACACACACATACTGAAACCCATATACACACAAGCAGCTCACATACATATATAGTGCCTATATATATATCAAGAAGAAAGACTTTTGAGTGTGGCTTAGACGCGACGTAGACGATGCCAAATAATCGTAATCGTAATCGCAATCGTWATCGCAATAAACGAAATAAAAATCAAAATCAAACTCAAAATCAAAATAAACAGCAAGCGGCAGCAGAGAAAAACGAAAAAGAGGAGCAGCAGGAGAAGGCAGCAGCAGTAGTAGTAGCAGCAGCGGCAGCGGCAACAACAACTTCATCAACATCATCATTAGCAGCAGCTGACGATTTTCAGAATGATCATAATGCAAATTCTGGCAGCATTTCAAATGGGTCACCAACGGCGAGCGACAGCGCCACAGCTGGCGATGAGGCAACAACTGGCGTAGCCAGCAATGAGATCAGCCCGCGAGAGCTAAAAGAGGATCAGCCAGAAAATCGGAGTGAAGTAAAAGATCAGCTGGAAGATCCGCAAAAAGATCAGACAGCAGAAAAGTCTGAAAGCACGCCTGAAGAGCAGCTGATTGTAGTAAAAGAGCAGCTGACAGACGAAGATTCACCTAAAGAGCAGACAGTAGAAAAACCTGGAGACCAGGCCAAAGAAGATTTGATTAAGCTGAAAGAGGAAAAACTTGACGATCAGTCTGAAGATCTCGCGAAGGAACAGTCCAAAGAGCAGCTGCCTGCAGTCAAAGATCAGCTGAGAGAGGATCAGTGTATAGATCAGTCTAAGGAACAGTTGGTTGTAGTGAAGGAACAGTTGGAAGAAGAGGCCAAAGAGCTGCTGACTAACGCAAAAGATCAGCTGAAAGAGGAAAAGCTTGTCGATCAGTCTGCAGATCAATTGCAGAAACCGCCAAAAGAACACCTGATTCAAGTGAAACGTGAGGATCAGCTTGAAGATCAGTTGGCTGTAGTGAAAGATCAGCTTGAAGAATCACCAAAAGATCAAACAGAAGTAAAGGCTGAAGAGCAGTTTGAAGATCCAAAAAAAGAGAAATCAGTAGAGAGAGAGCAGCCTCTTGAAGTAAAAGTTCATATAAAAGAGGAGTTCCAAACTTTGACTGTAGATCAGTCGGATATAGAAAAGGCAAAGCAGTTCATCGAACAGTCAGGAACACAAGTCATAGATCAGCAAAAGGAACAACTGATCAAGCAAATTACAGGTGAAGATCTGAAAAAAGAGGAAATTGTCGATCAGCCAGTAGATCAGTCAAAGAAACAGCTGGAAAATCATTCTGTTGATCAATCAAAAGATCAGCCAGATAATCAATCTAAGCAACATTTGTTTGTTAAGACTGAGGATCAGCTAAAGCAACAGCCAGTGGTGCGCATAGTGCCTGTGCGAATTGAGCAGGAAGCGAGCTATACGACAGCAACAGAACGAGCAGCAATGGGCGCCAAGAATTCCAAGCAGCAACAACAGCAACAGCAGCAACAACAGCAACAGCAGCAACAACAGCAGACGGAGCAGCAGCAGCAACAGCAGCAGCAGGCTATCAAAGCACCAGGTAGTCCACGACAGGCCAAGGTCATAGTGCATCGCATAGTGCGCGAAGGAGATGATGAAGTAGATGCACAGCAGCAACAGTTGCCACAGCAACAACAACAACAGCAGCAACATCAGCCAAATCAAGCAGAGCAAGAGCTGCCAGCAGCTGTGCAAGAGATCTTGGCCAATTGTCAGCTGCAACAGCCGCTGACAAAGCAACAACAACCGTCAAATGCACAACAGCAACAGTCGCCAGCACCGCAGCAACATGCAGCAAACCAGCCGCTGCAACGCAGCACCAAGGTGATCATACATCAGATACGCATCGAGACGGATGAACAGGAACGCGCTCGCAGAGGTAAGCCAACAATTGAGGAGATCAGCAGCACCACAGCAACACCCGCACACAGCAATAGCAACAGCAACAACAGTGGCACATTGTCGCCGCCGCCGCGTTACCTCGTCGAATCGCCCTCGCCAAAGGCCGTGCAACAGTTCAGTAAATTCTCGCGCGACTTGCAGATTCAGGAGCTGGAGCAGAGCAGCGACTGCAGCTCCGGCGAGTTCAATGGGCCGCTGCAATCGCCGCTGGTCTTTGAGGCCGACTCCGAGACGGAGGCCACAGTGGCGCCCATCACCACGCCCAGCGTGACCAGTACAGCTCCCTCAGCTCAGTTCTCTCCCGGCCTGCCGTCCAGCAGTCGCGCCGACGCACAGGAGCAGCTGCGGCAGAAGCGCGCGAAGCGAAACGCACTCGAAATGCACTTTATGCCGCAGCTGCTCAGTCCGCGCTATTTGGACAGCATTCTGGAGGAGAACAGCGAAACGGCTTCAACACCAGGTGATCTGAGTCGCAGTGGCTCCGCCACCGCCTCCAACTCCGCCACGGATCAGTCAAAGTCGCGTCCAGCTGGGCCCGTCAAGGTCAACGAAACATTTCCGCGTAGCCATCTCGACTTCAGTCGTCGGCACAAGCGCCGCGAGGAGCCGGTCGCTCTCATGCTGGAAACGAAGCTGATCGAGCAGAGCGACAACCTGGAGAGCTGCACCCGGCTGCAGAGCACGCTGTCGCCACAGTCCGAGGATGCCGAATTGGTTTATCTCAGCTCGTCGGGCTCGAGCAGTGTGTCGGATCTAATGGAACTCGAACTGGAGGAGGCAGCTGCTCTCGCTGAGCGCGCTCTCATCGATCTGGACACCGATGCCAGCAAGCTCATCAATCGGCCCGACGATGAGCTGAGCAGCAACACCAGCATGGAGCCCATCAGCTCAGCCAACGAGGAAACCGAGGGCGAGTGTGAGGTTCGTAGCGCAACAGAAACTACTAACCCGAACTAACCGAAGGGGAGTAGAGATAGTGATATAACGATAGGGGAGATAGAGCATAGAGCATAGAAGATTGGAGAGTGTCAGAAAATTGATTTACTTTTTAGCGCCCCAAGCTATTTTTAGCTCTCTCTGAAGTGAAAGGAAGTGAAGTGAAGTGAAGGAAAGTCATATATATATAGATCCAATATGGTAAATATAGATATAAGGAAAAGTCATATATATATGAAATTGAATATTGAATATAGTTACTCATCAAAATAAAAAAGTGTTCATTGTTGTTTAAGGACAGGAATAGCCAAAGACATATTTAATATGCTATTCATTCAGAAAAAATTATTTACTGCTAGTTTCAGATCATTGTTTGTATGCCAAGAGTACAAATTTTTACAAATTTTATAATATATAATTAAGTATTCATAAAAACATGAAATTCCTTTAAAAAAAAAATACTGTAAAATGATGTTCATATAAAGCACATTATTCTAATTAATAAAAATTTATAAAATTTATAATAAATGACATCCATGACAAGAGACTTGCTCGTATTATGTATGTGAATAGACTTATTGGATATGAATTAGGATTGACTGCATTGATTGGCCAGACGCAACGCTAAAGAAGAGCTCCTACGCATAGCTAGAGTCGTGACATATCTAATATATATACATAACGATATATATACATTAATATTCTCATATATGTTGCTCATAGCGTATCATATCAGCTAAATAAATCTTCAAGTATTTTTTCATGCCGGCTTAGCATATAGCAGTCTAAATGAAGCATTTATGATGGATATATATCGATGATAAATTGCTTTCTGAATATATATATTGGTGTGTTTTTTTTCTGACAGATTTATTTATGCTAAATTCTGTAACAAATCAGTTTTTCATATATATTCCGTTTTTTTTCCAAACAATTATTTACTCAGTTTACTTAGAACAAAAACTTCAGACAGCAATGTGACAGCCATGCGCATTTGCTTAGAAATTACTAGCTATATACCTATAGACAAATACTATAAATCATTTTGATTGAACGTCGAGCAATAGCTCAATTTTTGTTTGACTTGAGAGACTAGAGAGAAAAGTTTGCTATGAATCTAAAGAGATATTTTTTGCAATGGATAAATAAAAAAATTAAAAATATAAATAATAATAAAAATTAAAAATAAAATCATAAAAATAAAAAATAAAAAA